GTCTGACAAGATCGCTGTGGCTTAGCAGCATTCCAAAAAGGTCAGAATCTACAGGTGCACCATGTCTCTGTCACACTGGGATGGAACGCTAAATGGTTTCCCTTGACTGAAAAGAAGTTTAACTTAGTCAAAGACACTGGCAGTAAGAATACAGGATGGCAAAAACAGAAAGGTTGTAACTAAGTCAGAGTATTTTGATGTTTAAGTCTCTTCCTCTTTTGTACAAAGCTTGCTGAGAAAAATAAAGCTTTGCCAGTTGGTCATCAACCTGTTGACCCTCTCCATATGTGTTTTGTCATTCCCTTCTTCAATGAGTGAGTCCCTCTGTGTGTCCTGTCTTGTTCATTCCTGCCCTGAGCCCTTTCGGGTCAAGGACCTCTGCGATCCTGGTAATTCACTAAGAAGATCATCCATCTTTGCATGGTGTTTCATAGAGTTCCATTTCTTTAGGTTTATCACTTGAGTTTATTAATTATTTTTGGAGGTGACATGATTTCCTGAGTCTTTGTAATTGTTGTGTGCTTACATTGGAGTTTTTTGCCTTAAAATAATTAAATATATAGTCTCCTCTTCTGGTTTACATTTCTATGAATACATATGGTTGTATGTATTTATCATATATGAATACTCATATCTATATAATACTTAAATAATATATTAATTAATGCTAATATGTATATGCTATATTTGAAAATTATAAATAGTTGTTGTATATTAATATATTTATACATAAATATATATAAATATAACTATATATGTTTACAAAGGTAGATCTTCACCATTTAGTTCAGCCTTTGACTCTGGATGGACTGGGTGGTACAGCCATGGCAGTTATAGCCTGTATTTATGTTTGCTAGATAACTGATATGTTACCTTTCTTCTGAGTTCACACAGATCACATGGCTGGTGCTCCATATCTGATGAGAACATTGGCTGAGATTCCTGTGCAGTGAGGCAGAGATGCTGGATGGGTGCTTTGATTGCATTTGATTGGTTCAAGCCACAGTACGTATTTGCTGGCCAATGGTAGTACTATTAGTTTTGTTGTTGAAAAGAGTTTCAAGAGGACACTTGAGGATAAATGGAGACATTGGCCAGCTGGAACAGGACCAAGTGGTATGCTCAGTAGAACTGTGTTTGCTTCCCTGCCTAGACAAGGCTTTTGTGTGTACTTTCTGGCTGATATCAGCACTGTTTAAATTCCAGGCTGTGGCAGAACTATGTCCTGATGTTTGTTAAAATGTGCAAAGGTTGCCTTTCACCTAGTGTGTGACCTTGTATAGAGTCTGAAGCTGACTGTTTAGTGATTCAAGCTAAGTAGAAGTTTCCATTGCTTCTTGAAGTGATCAGTGTTCCTTTGCCAACTGGACTGCACTATTTTAAAACAATAATTAGGCACAGCGCATGGAGAACTACCACCAAGATCTAGGATTGGTTAGTGTGGTCTCCATTTCTTGCTTTGTTCTTACCTTGCCCCAGATGGTCTAGGCACATGTTTACCCTTACTTTCCCTTGGAGTGAGATTGAAGAAGTTTGTTTTGAAACTTCTTGAAATGTTACAGAAGACAGGTGTCTGCTAAGAGCTCCTCTTTACCACTGTAGAAAGCGTGTACCCTAAGATTCTCTCTGTGTAGACTATGCTAACATGGGACAGGGGAAGAGCAATACATTCAAAGTGAGACCATTTCTCTGTCGATGAAGATTTTAGATCTGTCAAAGAAGGTTAGATCAAAAAGAATTAACCTAGAAGGTAACACCCATGCACAGGAAATCAATGTGTGCAGTCAATGCCCTGTATAGCTATCCTTATCTCAACCAGCAAAAACCCTTGTCCCTTCCTGTTATTGCTTATAATCTCTCTACAACAAAATTGTCCCTTCCTGTTATTGCTTATAATCTCTCTACAACAAAATTAGAAATAAGGGCAAAATAGTTTCTGCTGGGTATTGAGGGGTTGGGGGGGAGAGGGAGGGGGCAGAGTGGGTGGTAAGGGAGGGGGTGGGGGCAGGGGGGAGAAATGAACCAAGCCTTGTATGCACATATGAATAATAAAAGAAAAAGGAAAAAAAATAAGGCCTATTTCCAAGTTTTGGGATATTGCTGTCTGTGAATAGTTGCCAGTTCAATGTTCTATGGGTCAGTAATGTTTGAAACTTATAGTCTGTCTTCTTGCCAGTATGAATCTTTCTGAAGGTGTTCAAGCTCTGGAGGAATTGAGCTCAATGCTCAGAGCTTACTTAAGTGGAAAATAAGAATGAATACAGGGAAATGAGGGAATAACAGATAGGACCTACAATTCAGTAACAAGTTCAGAAAAAAATTTTAAGAATTTTTTCCCAACTTCTTTGGGAAATGGAGAGATGTAGGGAAGTCATTGTATTATACCCTCTATTGTTTATGATGTGAGAAAGTATGAGCAATTCTGAATGTTTTCAGCTTGAGAATAATGTGATTTCCAGTATTTAATGAATGTCTGCTATGTGTTTTGTACTGTACTTACCAACAGGAACAATCAGGAATTAAAGCAGAACAATGTATATTATTAACTTATATATCATTTATACAAGCAATATAAGCTATATAATTTCTAGTTTATGGAGTAACAAAGCCATTAAAAGAGAAAAAACATTCCTAATGAGTGTTATGAGGGAGTATACATGGAAAACAATGAGAACATGAGTATCAATTATCCCCAATTTTTAGTATATGTATTTAAGATGTTTTACTTTACACTAATGTAAAAGTAGCACATGCTTAACAGAAAATCTGCTTTGAATTTGGATTTTTATCATTTCCCTGGCTAGTGAAAAGTGCTCTGATATTCTTCTCATACTCAAGTATAAGCTAATATCAGTATTCTGAGCACATTTCAGGTAGGCTCTGCCAAGCTATGATGTTTGGTAAGTGTAATGAAAGCACTTTGAATTAGGATATTTTCAATTTATAATGAATGAATATGAACATAGCCCTATTTTCACACCTGACATTCGACTGTTTCCCATATTTGGAACATTATTTTTAACCATTTTCTTATATTTTTCCATTTAATCACCACAACAAACCAATGAAACATATGCAGTTGTTGCCACCCCAATTTTATAAAGCTATACCTGAGTTACAGAGATGTCATATAACTTGTCCAGGTATTGTAATTAAGAAGTATTGGGAGATTATTCAGACACAGACAATGTAATGCTACAGATCCCATTCTTTTCTGAGGAGTTTAGAAATTTTTGATCTCATTAAGTTAAGAAGTTTACAGTTAAGAACTCAACAAGAAATGCAGGAAAAATTTCCAATAAGTGTTTTAAAACCTTTAATAGAGACATAATAATTAGTGGCAATTTTGAAGATATCTCAGGAGAGTAAATATCTAGAATTATTGCATTTCTTGAAATACTTTAGATGAAGAACTATGGAAGCCTGGAAGTGAAATCTATAGAATATTACCATTAAAGATATGAGGATAAAGAGATAAAAAAACAAACAGTAGATTTCCCTCAAGAGATCAAGGTGATGTGGAGATTGGACTCTAATATTGACTCAAACATGGAGGTTGTACAATCCCTAAAGAGAAAGGAACACAGGAGTCCCAAAGGAACTAAGAATACTAAGTAGTCTAATATGTGAACACAATCTCCTTATTTCATTTTGGTACCTGGAATCTGTTCTCAGGAAGAAAATGAGAAATTGTCGATGTAGATATCCAAGATCACTACATCTATAAATTGATGCAAAATGTTTAGGAGGCTCATCAGGTATCATATGTAATAATAAAAATGGCTGTTTCTTTTTCACTTATGCTTCAGAGGACTAAGGCTCATCTTTATAGACATTACTAGCAGCTCAGAAATATTTTTAGGGAATTTGAAAACTTATGTTTGTGCTACCTTTTCTTAGAATCAAAGGAACCAAAACTTCAGAGTCAGATCTTGCTCTGCCTGCCAGGACTACAGGGCAAATCTCACTGATGCAGAATTGTCAAGGTTGATTCTCCTAAGAGGGTAAGTTTTTGAATCTATATTAATGCCTTACTTTTTATGTTACATGTTTATTGAGATATCAATATAGAAAGGATATATATGAAGTATACAACTTATTATTTAACAAATACATCATAAAATTATACCAAAATCTATCACCTCTACATAGTGACCCTCATCTGTTTTTCTGTTAAATGTGTATGCACATGTTGAGAAGGTAATTTTAAGATGTCTCCACTTAACACACTCCAAATATACAATAGAATATTACATTGTGTTAACAGATTATACATTAGAGCTCCAGAACACATGTTACATGATTGAACCTTATTACTCCTGGTGAGCATCAACTGATTTTCCCTGTCATTGGGCATGGCTACAAATATCCTATTCCTTGCTTAAATAAATGTAACTGGTTGCAGTGTCTTAGTAAGTTTTCTCTCCATGGACTCTTGAGTGTTTTGCTGTGACATGGGAGTGAACATGATTTTACTCCTAAACTCTGCTTCCTTGGTTTTGGATTAGAAACAGTGTTTATGGTTCCAATACTGGCAGAATCCGGTCTGCATAGAAGGTCAGCATAAGGTTACTGAGGTGTCTGCCTTCAACTTTACCAGTGGAGGGAGGGCTCAAGCAATGAAGAAATGATGATTTAAGAAAAGGGCAATGAAATCCTGATCTGACCATTTGTCCCTTCTTCTATAGTTTCACTAAAAGTCCTGTTTGAACATGAGAGCATAGACCTTAACTATGTAGGCTAAGTTGTTGATGTGCTCACACACAGCACAACAATAAAAAAAGACAGTAAAAAATAATTTTAAGAAGGAAAAAACCATTAATAAGGGGAAAACAATGTCATTCAGTGTCAGGGTAGAATTAGAGGCAAGTTCTCAGGATGGAATATCAGCTTCAAATGCTTCCACATAACCTTCACATTTATGGTTGAAGATACTGTTGGAGAGTTGCATTTTCCTCTAATGTTCCTCTTTTTCCTATTTCCACAGACCCTTTTACAGAATGGGCCCTGCAAATAACACTTTGGTGACTGAATTCATTCTGGTGGGGTTAACAGACCAGCCTAACCTTCAAGTACCACTGTTCTTTCTGTTTCTATCGATGTATATGGTCACTTCCTTGGGAAATTCCGGCTTGATAATTATCATTGTGCTGAATTCACACCTTCACACCCCCATGTACTTTTTCCTCTTTAACTTGGCCTTCATAGACCTCTGTTATTCTTCTATGGTTACACCCAAAATGCTGATGAACTTCATATTAAGCAAGAATGTTATCTGTTATATGGGATGTATGACTCAGCTCTACTTTTTTTGTTTTTTTATCATTTCTGAGTCCTATGTGTTAATGTCAATGGCCTATGATTGCTATGTAGCCATCTGCAATCCACTTTTGTATAACACTGCCATGTCCCCTAAGGTGTGTTCCTACCTTATCGTTGGTTCCTACTTGATTGCATTTTCTGATGCCATGATCCACACTGGATGTGTCCTGAGACTGACCTTCCGTGATGGAAACACCATCAACCACTATTCCTGTGATGTCCTCCCTTTGCTCCAGCTCTCCTGCACCAGTACCTATGTTAATGAGGTAGAGATTTTCCTTGTAGGGGGGAAAGATATCACTGTACCAACTCTCATCATCTTTACCTCACATGGTTTCATTCTTTCTAGCATGTTCAAAATAAGGTCCACTGAGGGCAGGTCCCAAGCCTTCAACACCTGTAGTTCCCATATAATTGCTGTTTCTTTGTTTTTTGGATCAGGTGCATTTATGTATCTCAAGCCCTCCTCAGTTGGGTCTATGGATGAGGGAAAAATCTCTTCTGTCTTTTACACAATTGTTGTTCCTATGATGAACCCCTTAATCTATAGTTTGAGAAACAAAGATGTTAAAGTTGCCCTGAAACAAACCATAAGCATGAGAAAGTTTTGATCAGAAACCTTATCTTTCTATTCCTGTAGCAAAGGGAGATTTTGCATGTTTAATTAGCTTTCTTTGTCTTCTTTTATTTTCTGTGGGGAAGGAAATCTGGGGCCTGCTTCATTTTCAATTCTTTTTACAGTAGTAGGTTTTCTTTTTTACCTTACATTTTTGTATGATGATCAGTTTTCCTATTGAGAAATCAGGCAAACAATGAGTAAGCTGATTTATTTTTGCATACTGGGGTCTTAACCTAAGGTCTTGCCTGGATTTGTGAGAGAAGTGACTACAACTTGATGCACACCTCCAGCCCTTTTTGCTTTATTTTTCACATAGGGTCTCACTTTGTTTATTGTTTTGTTTGACCCTCCTAACTATGCTGTCCCCACAGCCGGGATTACATTTTTTTGCCACTAAATCCAGCTTTCAGCAGACTGGCATCAAACTGTGATCCTCATGATCTCTGCTCCCTGAGTAGGTGGGATTACTGGCATGGTCACTGTGCTCAACCTGCAAAATTTTTAACTGAAATATTTCCTAAGATTGATACAATTAACATATACTATTGTTCCATTCAATGTTTATGTATTGTGAAATTTAGCATAAGTGGTTTCTTGGTTTTAGATGTAAAACATAGCTAAGCATTTGGTTTATGGTTTGAAGTGTCCACTTCTCCATTCAATAGTTCAATATCAGCATTATTTACTTTTACTCAGAGTGCTCCATAAATTAGAATCAAATTTGGTTGAAAATTGTTGTCTTGCAGTGTCCCTTTTGAAAAATTGCTTTCTTTATTGAATAAATCCGTATTTCAGGAAGAAAGTAATACATGTACTATGTTGTGCCATTTGTAGACATGACAAGGTTGTGTGTACTCCATACGCATTTCATTACAATTTGAAGTTATCAAGAATGGACTAAACTCTATCACCAATAGTTCAATTGATTAACCTCAAAATACAAATTACGCCTGTTTTATTTTCAGAAAGATTAACTTCCTTTAAAATTTAAGCTCATACTTTCACCCTTTTTTGTAAAACTCACTTGTAAGGTTTAAATACACTTTCTAAAAGTTAAGGACATTGAACATTGATAAAAGGTATTGTGGCTAATTTAATAAGCAAAATTAGCTCTGTGTGTCTATTTGGATTTTTTTTAAAAGGAAGGCAACCTTGTCTGGATATTTACATGAAATAGATAGAGGTATTCATAGTTTTTTTTCATTTATTGTATTATGTGAATTGCCATAAAGAGAGTATAGAGAAAATGTAATTCTATTGACATAGTCATAGCAGAGTGTTAAAATTGAAGAAAATATATTTTCTTTTGCCATTGTTGTAGGGGAATGATGTTTCTACACTAGTGTGAAATATTGGGCTTTATGGGTTGTAACAAAAAATGATTCCACTAGCTAAAAATGGGAAAGAAAATTTCCTGATTAAACCCTGAATTTGCTTAACAGAAACTTTCTGCAACCAGGCTGCTTTAGTTGCTCAGGATTAGTTTTACAATGACCATGAACAGGTGCTTGCTGGTAGAAGACAGATGAAATCGGAAGTAAAAGGGGCTTTCAATCCTGTATGTTTTGCTTCTTCCCCACATGTTAATAAACCTTTTTATTTCACTTTTGAGTGAAATTCTATGCTATACCAAACATACACCCCCCCATACACGCATTTCAATTGTGTGTGCTTGAAATGATTGCTTAACATCAGTTATATAGCATATGGCCAAACTTTATTGTACAAGCACCTACTAGTAGATAGTTCCTGTTTCTAACTCTAGAGAGGTCAGTCTCAATTTGCTTTATCCAGTAAGAGGAAATGTTTATTGATTCAATTATTCATTCCTTTATATAAACACATGCAGAGACTCCAGAACACTTGAACAACCCTTTAGCTGAAATTAAGGGCTTGTCGTGATATGCTGTATGTCACCAACAGAAATAAAGTGCAGAGAAAGATATACAGGTAAATTTTCATAATGCCACATAATAAAGTGATCTCCTATGTGAAAATTGATTTTGTTGGCATAATGATCATGGTGAGGAACAACATGGAATTTTTCCATAAGTCTGGCAAAGCTGATTTTTGTCTCTAGAATTGGGATATCTCAATATTTAGCAGAACGTACATAAAGAGAGTGGTTCATCTGCTGGTCTCTTTTATACAAAATATGCACCTTTACACATTGAAAAATCTTCTGAGAGCAGAGACTTCATCTTTTTCTGTGAGTTTGAGGCTGGCAGAATCACCTGCACAGATTAAAAATCTCCTCAGACATAGTGTTAACCAACTTCTAAAATCAGTGCAGGTACACATGCCCATGGTACAGTGTGCCCATGAGTAGTGGTTAGGTACAGTTTCCTTCACACTGTCCTATCTGCCAGTTTCTACATTCCTTAGGTTAGATGTGGAAAATAGCAAGGGAGGGAATCACTGCTCCCACTTAGGATGCAATGATCCTGATGCTCAGATATTTTCATGACTCATTGCAATTCATAATTTGAAAGCTGTTGAACTGATACTGGGCTGTGGCATTTAAAAATTATAGAACATTTATATATATTTAAAAATTTGTGCAACATGAAAACAATGAGTTAATGAATAAAAACTCTTTAAGGACAAATAAGAACAAAATACCCCAAGTTAAAAAATGTCCAGAAAGCCTTCTTCACAATTCATTTTTCATAGCTCCATTGCTTGACTTAGAATGTGTGAATATACTGTTATCTCATACTGGGCTATCCATTAACACAAACAGGTATGAATGGCCTATGTCATCATTTTTGCTTTTGAGTGTCTACTCAGTCCTAGGGGCAGCCATAAATCCATGCATTCAATATCTCATCAAATCTCACAACAGTGATATTTGGCAACAATATGAGTGGCTCAGTGTTGCAGAGATGACTGCTCTTCACCTCATCCTCGGGAACACAGAATTCTCAATGTCTCCTGCTGTGACGTCACTGAGAGGTTGAAATTTAACAGACATCATTCCAGGACCTGGTGGTGTCTTTTCCACTTTTCTGTCTGTGCTGGATGTAGATGACAATGAAACCCCATGTAGATGAAGAAGTTGTAAAGCAAAGAGAGAGACTTAACACAATCAGCATGGAGAAGGGATGAATGGATGGAGCCACAATCAAGAATGGACAAGTTGAGGGATATGTTGCTCACAATATTCTCTCTCTCTCTCTCTCTCTCTCTCTATATATATATATATATGTATATATATATTAGATACTTACAGTAAGTGGATAAATTTATGTGCCTTTCTTTTTGCATTTATGTTATTTTCACAATATAATAGGTTACAGAATTTAGATTAGAACTCTAGTCCAAGTGAGACATATACTAATCCATAAACAAAGAATAGAATAACATTTATTATCTGGGAATATCTTCCTCATAGAAAATGTTTCATCTAGGACATGACCAGCAGGTAAAATATGCAAAGAAATCTAGACTGGGCCAGGGCATGGACTATTTATTCCCTTTACCACATCAGATTTGAAATTCCACAGATGTGGGTTCTATGGATGTGTGAAAGTCAGTGTACCATGATATGGTGTGAATTTCTATTGCATTAAATATCATTAGGCTTAGTTTCATGATAAAGAGAATATAATTCTTATTCCGTGTTATATAACTTCATCTTTTCTACCCTTTCAACATTCCTCAGTTGTTCAATTAAAAACACTTCTTTAAACTTTATTTGTTAATAATTTCATGTTCCTTTCTTTTTGCTCCAATTTTGAAATTGTAAAATATGTTGCAAACAATGTATCATCTTAACTATTTTAAATGTACAGTACAGTGGTATTACATATATTAGTAATATTGTGCAGTCATTACATTACCTCTAGCCAACTGCAATATTCTTTCTATCATGCAAAATTGGGCTCTCTACCCATTAAAAATTAATTCCCCATTACTCCCTCCTCCTATCCCAAGGTAACCCCATACTAATTTCTGTCTCTATGATTGACTAGTATAAATATCTCATAGAAGTGCCTAGATTCATGCACTTGCTATGGTTCCAATGCTTATGCATGTTGCAACATATCAAAATTAGCCTGCATACTATTGCATTATGTGTGTGTGTGTATATATATATATATATATATATATATATGCATAATTATCTCTTTTGCTTTTTTTGCTTATTTGCTTATCTCTTCATCTGTTGAAGGACAGCACTTGGGTTGCTTCTATGTTTTAGCTATGGTGAATAGTGCTGTTTAACATGTGTACAAATGTACTTTGGAATACCTTCTTTCAATTCATTTGAACATGTACCTAGATGTGGAATTGAAGGCAGCCTTTTGGCTGATACATATTTTTCAAAGTACATGTACAATTTTACATTCCACCAAAGAATGTAAAATGGTACCAATTTCTAAAATCCCTGCCAACAATGTTATCTTCCATGAGTTAAAAGTAATTATGTTCCACTATTTAAAAAATCAGTGGCTACCCTACTGGAATTGAGGTGTTATCTCATTAAGTTTTGATTTACATTTCTCTAATGATTATTGATACTGATAAAATACTTTCAAGAAGTCTAACTTGACTATTCATCTTTTATTGCTTATAACTCTGGTGTCCTGCACAAGTAACTGACAAATCCAATGGCATAAAATTTTGCCTTATAAATTTTTAAAGAGGATTTTATAAGTTTAGGTCTTACACATGCATCTTTGATACATTTTTTACTCAATTTGCATGTAAACATATAAATATATACAAAAGATGTTTCCAAAATTGAAACTGTTGGAGGAATCTAAGGAAGGAGGAAAAGAAGAATGATGGAGTGAAAAATTGTGAAATATATCACATCTGTGTAGGAATAAGACACAACTGAACACTGAAAACTGTTGAACAGTGCAGAGTAGGGGGAGAAAGGATGGAGAATAGTAGTGGAGGAGGTTAGGCTTATTTAAGCACCATATATTTACAGGTAAAATACCAATGCAAAATTCAGGTTAAGGGGAGGGCACTTTTAAGAAG